GTTGGTGCAGGCTTGGAGGGCCAAAGGGCCTGTTCCTGTGCTGTATTGTTCTTGGATCTTTGACTGGGTGCATAGCTGGGCTGAAACATTGGCATTGGATTCAGGAACAGGAAGAGGCCATTCAGTCCTTTGTGTCAGCTCCGCCAAATCTGATCACAGCTGATGATCCAACTCAGCACCTTATTTGGCTTTCTTCCTAGACCCTGATCCCTTTAGCGCTAAGAACGATATCGAACTCTTACTAACTATATCTGACTAGAATCATAGAATCCCTACAGTGTGGAAACAGGCCCTTCGGCCCAACAAGTCCACACCGACCCTCAGGGCATCCCACCCAGACGCATCCTCCTATAACGTACGTAAGCTACACATCCCTGAACACTACAGGCAATTTAGCATGGCCAATCTACCTAACCTGCACGTCTTTGGACTGTGGGAGGAAACCGGAGCACCCGGAGGAAAGCCACGAAGACGCGGCAAGAATGTGCAAACTCCACACAGACACCCGAGGCTGGAATCGTACCTGGGTCCCTGGTGCTGTGAGGCAGCAGTGCTAACCACTGTGCCGCCCAAATATCTGACATTTAGTTGATTTCTGGTAAGATTCAGCTCATTATGCTAGAATCTGGCTCTTCCCTGGATTGGAATCAGCACCATTGCAAGCTCTCATTGTGTAAACAGTTCCGTATCATTTTGTTTTAGAAGTCATTTTTCACTTGTTGGGTCACTTGTAAGGGCTATCCCCTTTTTCCAGTTGCAGTAGTCAAACCGCAGAAAACATTCTCTTAACTATCATCAATGTTTATTTTCTTAAGCAAACTTTTTTCTAAAATAAATCAACTGTAAAATGTTGGCGAATTGCAGAAGCAGCTTCTTGGCAGATTTTACATTTATCAACACGGAAGTGAGTTTGAGCAGAAACTTGAGAAAAAGAACACTTCTCAAAACTGGCACAATTTTGAGCACCATTTGGGGGAAGTTGCTGACCCCTTGTGCAGTCCCACAGTCACACAATAATATATGAATGTATGAGGAAAAATTTGAGGTTATTGCAAACGGGACTGTACGTTGAGAGAATATAGAATATTAGATACACAAACAGATCATCTGACATTTTGCATGTGACATTGATTAAGGGATAAATATTGGCCAGGAGATTATGACACAGTTAAGGAAATTCAGAAAGATTCTGTTGAATTCTGAAATGAAAGTTTTGCTACACAATGAAAAATTCTCCTGCCTAGTACCTTAAAGCATTACTCAAGGATCATCGTTGGCACATTCCACATATGAAAAATGAAATCACAGCTTGGCAGGTTTTGGTGAGACAACCTGGAATCACATCTCGGAAGGAAAGGAACTGTGTTGCTGAGAGCAGAGCAGACGTAGGGGCGAGTGAGAAGGCTGGCAAAGACAGATTCATCAGTGCAAGCTACTGAGTTATAAGACTTCTTTCGTCCACAGTCTGCCTGTGCCCAGATAGCTCTGGAAGAAGAGCATACTGTGGGTACCAGTTATATTCGAGACTTCCCTCAACTGCTAGACAGAGGAAGCAACAGAAAACATGGACTCAATGCTGCTGAGGTCTGGGTCCCCCAGTCCCACCACTAAACCTGACGAGACAACAGCAGGTTCCCTTGGATCCTGGTTAATGGCCCTGATTTAACTCCCTCCCATTGCTCCACAACCATGGCACTGCTGCTGGTTACCACAAGGAGGAGCAGTTGGCCTGACGGCTGGGCTGTGATGCGCAGTTACACCAAAGGCATGTGTTCAATTCCTGTACTGGCGGAGATTACCGTAAAGGATTCCTTCCTCGACCTCAGGTTAAATCACTAACAGTCATCTCTCTAATGAGAGAGTAGGACACTGATGACTTCACCTTTTATCACACAGAATGTACAGTAGGAGAAGGACAGATTTTGAATTTAAGTAGCACCTTTCACAACTTCAAATTGTCCTAAAGCACTTTACAGCCAATTTGCACATGGCAAGCTCCTACAAATTACCAAATCACTTATCTTTTTGTATGTGATGTTGACTAAGGGATAAATATTAGCCACGAGAGTGTGGTTTTAAGTTGATAAGCTCTTTGTGATTTTCTTTTCTACCAATCAGACTTCCATTTCTTGTGCACCTTTTGCTTCTTGACACAAAGGGAATTAGTGTTTCCTAATTGTTCAAACGAAGGAAAGGCAGGTGGAAGGATGGGGTGACTTTGTAAAAATAATGAGAAGTGATCCAGGGTTTCAATCAATGTTGTGTTTATTGACTGTACAGCAGATCAATGTGTCACAGCAAAGAGGAGCTGACATTCTCCATACGTGCACCACAATCATTTGTTACTAACTCACAACATGAAGCATATGAGGCAACGGACAACCAAAAAAATAACTTTATACCATAAGGTCAAAGAACCAAAGAACATTTAATATCAATTTACTGTAGGAAGTAAGTCAGCATTTACCTTGTTCCCACATTCGCCTCTGATGCCTAAAGTTATGAAGATTTCATTCATTTTCCATTTGATTAATTGAAATGGTTAAACAACCCAATCAACATGCTGTCAAACATGCTCACCCTGCCCCAAACCCCTCCCTCATAATGGCTTAAGTTTGAACCTGAAGTCTGGAACAAATTCTGAAGATTTTGAGGAGTGCAGAGGAGGTGGAGAAGGGATTTCTAGAAGCTACTTGAAAAATGACGATGACATCTCCATTTGTTGGGGTGGGGGGGAGCGGTTTTGATGTGATTTATATGGGTCACGTGCACAGGTATTGTTCATGGTCGTAAGAGGGGGTTGTGCTTCTGGAGGCCCCCTCTTACCCTTTACTGCCGACAGTGAATTTCCAGGGCAGCCCAACTGGGTCCTGCTGGTTTTTATTCTCCATAGGAGAAACCTCCTATCCTACCTTCCCTCACCTTGCCAATGTGTCCTTCTAATCTTCTCTTCCATCTGTGTTTACCCAGCTTCCCCTTTAGGTACATCTATACAATTCACTGCAATGCACCATGTTATAGTAAGATCCATATCCTCAGGGTAAGGACGTTTCTCCTAGACATCCCATTGGATTTACTGGTGACCATCTTATACTTATGACCAGCTAGCTTTGGGTTCACCCACAAGTCGAAACATTTTCTCGAGTATGTTCTGTCTCAGACTGTCCCTAAAACTGTTGGAGTCCTCTGGCCCTCACTAGCACCTCACTTGGATGATGCTAATGAGCCCAACCCTGAGTGTTGGCTTCTCAAACTGAGTAGAATAGAATCCCTACAGTGTGGAAGCAGGCCAATTGCCCCACTGAGGCCACAGTGACCCTCCAAAGAGCATCCCAAACAGACCCACACCCTTTATCCTACCCCTGCATTTCCCATGGTCAATCCACCTAACCTGCATATCTTTGGACTGTGGGAGGAAACTGGAGCACTGCAGGAAACCTACACAGACAGGGGGAGAATGTGCAAACTCCACACAGACAGTCGCCCGAGAGTGGAATCGAACCTAGGGCCCTGGCGCTGTGAGGCAACGGTGCTAAACACTCAGCCAGATTAGGGTAATGATGATGGGACCCAACCAACCTTTCTTTAATTCACTCTTGGGACAGGAGTGTCACTGGCCAGGCCAATATTTATTGCCCGTCCCTAATTACCCAGAGGGCAGTTAAGAGACAACCACATTGCTGTGGGTCTGGAGTCACATGGAGGCCAGACCAGGTAAGGATGGCACTTTTCTTCCATAAAGGACATTAATGAGCCAGATGGGGTTTTCTGACAATCAATAATGGATTCATGGTCATCATTAGATTCTTTTTAGTTGAATTCAAACTCCACCATGGCTTCAAATCCAGATTTCCATTATCGGGGTGGGGGGGGGAGCGTATCTGGAGTAATAATCCAGTGACAATACTTAGGTCACTGTCTCCTCAATTGTTTGATTCGTATTTCTACATTCCTGGATTTAGAAAGGATTTAATGTTGGGTTGGTGAGATGATACCATTTCTACTGTAATCAAGCCTGATGGGGTTTGTATGTCAGGGAATGAGAAAAAAAACTTCACCATCCCACAGCACTTTGCGGGAACATAATCAATACTCAACAACTTGCATGTATTTAGCACATTGATGGTAAGAATAGTCAGTGGAATTTGACACCAAAATGCATAAAGACATATAAGGAAAGAGTGATAGAATGTTACTGTACAGAAATTTGATTTGATTTGATTTTGATTTGATTTATTATTGTCACATGTACCTAGATACAGTGAAAAGTTTTGTTTTGCGTGCAGTACAGGCAGATCTTACCATACAAAGATCGTGAAGCAGAGGTACCGGTGTTGGACTGGGGTGGACAAGGTCAGAAATCACACGCCACCAGGTTATGGTCCAACAGGTTTATTTGAAATCACAAGCTTTCGGAGTGCAGCCCCTTCATCAGGTGAAATCTGATTTCAAATAAACCTGTTAGACTAAGATCTGCTAAAATCACAGAGTGATTGCACAGAGTGGGGAATACAAAGTTACGGCTACACATAGAAGGTGCACAAAAAGGAAGATCAACATTAGATTTGATATTTGAAAGGTCCATTTAGAACTCTAATAAGGGAAAGAGGCCCCTCGACCCAACATGTCCATGTCAGCCATCTAACACCTATCTACGAGGTGGCCAGACGTTTGGTGGAAGACGTAGTTTTCAAAGGAGTGACTTTCAGAGGAGAAAGAGAAATAGAGAGCTTGAAGAGTTTAAGACAGAAATTCCAGGGACCAGGCATAGTGAGATGAAGGGATTGGGTGACGCTGGGACCGGGATGTGGGTGGGAGGGCAAAGAATTAGGAGGAACCCATCCCCTCGGAGGATTCGGGCTGAGAGGAGAAACCAGATGCAATTGCATCTGAAGGGGCTAAGGTCTGAAAGACCCAGAGAGAGATTGTGAAACCTACAGCAAAAAAAAACCTTCAGGAAAGGTCAGACAAACACTTACAGAGACACACAAAGGCAAAGATGAGAGAGACACAATTTATTTATTAGTTTTGTTCCTGGATAATGACATGGAAGACTAACTAATAGCAACATCAGAAAAAAAGATCAACGTCCCATCTACAGTCTTGTTTCTGTACTGTGGTTCTGACTGGTCCATTTCAATTGCAAGATCTGTCAGATGGGTGCAAACAGGCGAAATAATCTGCATTAAATTACGACAACGCTGAAAGCTTACGTGGAACAGCTGTTTCTTTTTGAAGAATCTCTTCCATTTGAAGCACTTTAAGGCAGTTTCTTTAAGAGCCGTGGTGAGTCAGTGTATGTTTCTCTTTGTCTCAAAAAATACTCCACTTCTCTTCATCTGTTTACCTTAGTCTGAGGAATCACAGGCAGGAAATAAAATACCATTGACTGTCTCCTGACCCAGGCAGCAGCTGCAAACAATACAGGGGGTGACTTGTATTATTGTAGGGCTATTGATGTATTAACACATCTCAAGTCACTTTGCAAGATCATTACAGATTAACAGCTGATACTGAATCAAATAGGGGAAACTTCAAATACCTCGCATGCTGAAAAACTGTAGTAAGAAGGAATAAAAAGTGCTTGAAAAACTCAGCAGTATCTAGTGTGGAGTGAAACGGAGGTAATGTTTGTGGTTGATGACCTGTCATTAGATTGCAAACGTCGTCAGCCTAAAAGTGGTGAATCTATGGAACTCACTGCCACAGAAGGCTGTGGAGGCCGGGTCTTGGAGTATATTTAAGATATTGGAGATAGGTAGGTCCTTGATTGTTAAGGGAATCAAAGGTTACGGAGAGAAGGCAAGAGAATGGGGTTCAAAAACGTATCAGCCATGATTGAATGTTGGAACACGCCCGATGGGCCGAATGGCCTAATTTCTGCTCCAATGTCTTATGGCTTAGATAAGGAGATGGCGGAGCTATTATAATCAGGAATGCCTAGGAAGCTCGAACTAAATGAGAGCAAAGATCTTGGAGGGCTGTGGAAACCAGGAGCAAGAGTAGGCCATTCAACCCCTCCTTCCTGCTCCACCATCCAATATGATCATGGCTGATCCTCTACTTCAACACTATATTCCCATTTTCTCTTTAAGCCTTTAATGTCTAAAAGTATCTGTTTCCTGAATATATTCAGTGACCTTGCCTCCACAAACTTCTCTGGTAACAAATTCCACAGGTTGACCAGTCTCTGAGTGAAGAAATGCTCCTACATCTCAGTCCTGAATGATCTACCCTGTATCCCCAGACTATGTCTCCTGTTCTTAGACTCCCCAAGCAGGGGAAACATCTGCTCTGCTTCTAGTCTGTCTGACCCTGTTAGAATTTTATACACTTCAATCACATCTGCTCTCATTCTTCTAAATGTGGGTGAATACAGGCCCAACTGAACTAATCTCCCCTCACAGGATAGTCCTGCCATCCCTGGTAGATTACAGACTAAGGGAGAAGCATGAACTTGAAGGGAATTGAGGGAGAGAATATTTTAAAATTGAGGCTGTGCCTGACAAGGAGCCAGTGCGTGTCAGTGAGGTGCTGGGTGAACAGAAGTCGGGGTGAGCTAGGATATGGCTGGCAGAGTTCTGGGTGTGAACTTTTTGTTACAGAGGGAGAATGTGGAGGTCGGCCAAGACTTTGTTTGGATAATCAAGTCTAGGCATAAAGCCATGGATTAGGGTTTCAACAGTAGATGAGCTGAGGCAGAGGGAAGCATTGGGCAATGTTACAGAGCTGGAACTAGGCAGTCTTTGTGATGGCACAGCTTGGGTCTGAACGTTTATCTTAAGACCATAAGGCATAGGAGCAGAAATTAGGCCATTTGGCCCATCAAGTCTGCTCTGCCATTCAATCATGGCTGTTAAGTTCCTCAACCCCATTCTCCCGCTTTCTCCCCATAATCCTTGGGGTTAGACACTGTACCAAGGTTGCAAAGTGTGGTTCAATCTCAGACTTACAAGGGATAGAGTTAGTGGGCTTAGAAACAGAGTCCATTGAAGAGAATGAGAAAGCGAATGGTCCGAGAAACATTAAATTAGAGGAAATCACTGCTCAGTCATATTTTTACATCTGTGATTCAGGGTTGGAATGCACTGCCTAATAGGGTAGAGCATACAGATTCAATAATGGCCTTCACGTTCTGAAAGAACAATAATTGCAGAAACATGAGAAAGGATCAGGAGGGAGTGGGACAAAATGGATAGCTCGTCACAAGAACTGACAGACTGGACAGTTGAATACCCTGCCTCTGTGCTGAACTGTTTCTCTGAACAAATTAGCCAGAATATGTAATCTTTACAGTACAACCGGCTTACAATCAAGTTCCAAGATAGTTGAACTTCAGGGGTGAGTTATGAGGACTGGTTATACAAATTAGGCCGGTTTTCTCTAGGATTCAGAAGATTAAGGGGTGATTTGATCAACGTCTTTAAGCTACTAACAGGAGAAGACAGGGTAAATAAAGATAAACTATTTCCACTGGTTATAGATTCTAGAACTAGGGATATAGTCTGAGAACTAGGGCCAGCCCATTCAGGAAAGATGTTAAGAAGTATTTCTACACACAGACGGTGGTAGAGCTTTGGAACTCTCTTCCACAAATGGCAGTTGATGTTAGACCAGGCACTAATTGTAATCCTGAGGTGGAATATCTTTGCTAAGTAAAGATATTAAGGGATATGGGCCAAAGACAGGTATATGGAGTTAGGCTACAGATCAGCGATGATCGTATTAGATGACAGAGCAGGTTTGAGGGGCTGAATGGCCTACTCCTGTTCCTTTGTTCCCATTTATTTGTATTCTGTCAGCAACTTGCCAATAGTTAGCTGATTGAGTAATCAAATCTTATTTGATTTCAGTCTTCAATCGTTCCCTTTATAACCTGCACGTCAGACTCCAGAAGGGTTTGTGACATGGTTTCACTTCAACAGAAATCAGCTTGTTAATCCCCTGCTCTGGGACTATCTGTTCTTTCAGACTGCTGTGTGCGCTTCTCGTCTAAAGCTGAGCAGCAAAGCAATAAAGTTGGAAGGGAGCAGCGTGCCATTTCATTGACACACAGGATTAGGATGCCTTGGAGGGAGTTAACTCCAACTATCCGTGACCCTGGAACCAGACATGGCTGCAGGTCTTGTTTCTCCTTCCTGACAGCACCATTATCCTCCCTCTTTCTTTGCTTTTCAATATGATGTTCCCGTATAGTTCTGCAATTTGAGACCAACTTAATAATTTAAAGAAGTCACTGCCAATGCAATCCCTTGGTACTTTATGGAGACAATTATTGATTAATTAAGGCACGCACAGTGATCAGTGATACACTGAGCATCATATTATAAACCCGATCACATTATGTTTGGGAGCATTGTTCTTAACTGTAGTGGTTTTGCTTCTTTTTTAACATAAATCTGTATTTAGATAAGTACGACTATTGTGTCATTATAGGCAATATGTACTATACATACATAAAATTCAGCAACTTTGATTTACAAAGTGCCTTTAACATAATAAAGCCTTCTAAAGTGTTTTTGCTATAAAACTATGACATTTGCTATTAAAAAAAATGAAACCCAGTCATAAAGGGAGATATGACCAAACATTTTAATGGCTTTTATCTTCCATATTCTAGGAGGAGAGGGCCTTTGAGAGATGGAAAGGCACGGGCACAGAATTGCACAGCTTCGGACATAGGCAACTGAAGATTTCCTATTCCACTGAAAAGCAGACAGATTCTTGATTACCCAGGGGCTGAAGAATGAATGAGACTATGCAGCAATGTAGAACTGAGGTTGACATCAGATCAGCCACGTTTTATTGAATGGCAGAGCCAGCTTGAAGGGCTGAGTGGCCTACAGGCCATGTGGAAGGCCTTTCGGATTGAGAGTTTCCAGAAGTGATCAAAAAAACTCAGTGTCTAAAGGAGGGACCCCAGAAAGGAAGGGCACTGATAGCCAGCCCACTGCCTTTGCTGCAGACCTCCCTCCCTCTCTGACTTCCCTGGTGACACCCCACACATTCCCACTCCTCTCAACTCCACTCTGGGATCTCTGATGGCCTTAGGGTGAAAGAGACAAGAGGGTATGGGGAGAAAATGGGTACAGGATACTGAGAGATAGTAAGAATTGCCGATGCTGGAGTCAGAGAGAACACAGTGTGGAGCTGGAGGAACACAGCAGGCCAGGCAACATCAGAGATAACACAGTGTGGAGCTGGAGGAACACAGCAGGCCAGGCAGCATCTGAGAGAACACAGTGTGGAGCTGGAGGAACACAGCAGACCAGGCAGCATCAGAGATAACACAGTGTAGAGCTGGAGGAACACAGCAGGCTAGGCAGCATCAGAGATAACACAGTGTGGAGCTGGAGGAACACAGCAGGCCAAGCAGCATCGGAGAGAACACAGTGTGGAGCTGGAGGAACACAGCAGGCCAGGCAGCATCAGAGGAGCAGGAAAGTTGACATTTTGGGTCAGGACCTTTCTTCAGAAATACTGATACTGAGTTGGACTATGAGCCATGATCATACTGAATGGCATAGTAGGCTTGAAGGGCCAAATGGCCTACTCCTGCTCCAATTTTCAATGGCCTGGGCTCGTTGGAGACCCTGAGCTTCAAGTGGGTGCATTACCTGCAGCAGCCACAGTTGCTGGTGGCACTCTAGATTAATAAAGAGCCTCAGGTTGGTGGATGGAAACTCCGCCTGGGACCCCCAATCCTGGAAAAGGCCCTACACTGCCCAGTTAAGTGCCTGATTGGCCGTTAGACTCAGCGCGGCTCTTCTACCTTTGCAAAGAGAGGCGCTGGTATTGCTGGCTCTTCAGCCAATGTTCAAAAACCCCATTAAATACCATGCTTTATTTCAGAAAGTGCTTTTGTGATCATTCATTTATAACTGAGAGGAGGCAGTCATTGAGATTCTTAGCAAATGCAGCACCTCTAGAAAACCAAAGGAAGTTAAACATTTTGCAGTCTGTGAGCTGCTTATTTAAAGAAGCTTTGTGCATTAATTTGCATAAACATTAAAAAAAGTCACTCATAAATCCAAGAAAGAATGCTGAAGAAACAGCTCTACTCCAGAGGGTGGGGAGAATGTGGAATTTGCTCCCAGAGGGACTGTAAGTGGTTGATACAAACTGTATCGTTGAATTAAAAAGCATAGGTGCATTTATGGAGGAGCAGAATAAACACAAGTAAGAAATGAAAAGGTGCATTGATTGGACAAGATGAAGCAGGATGGGGAGGATGCTAATATTGAGTAGATATAACCCACATTGGACCAGATAGGCTGAATGCCTGTTCCTGAAGTGTCGAAATTTTTGTTTTTAAAGTTAATTCCACAAGCATTTTCATGGAAATGTTTTCCTTGCACTTAATAAAGGAAATGATTCCCAATCCTTGCTATTGAGGGAGGGGAGAGTCTGCC